GGCGGGGGCGCCGGCGACCCGTCCTCTACCTCCCGGAACCCGCTCGTGTACCTGGACGTGGGCGCCGACGGGCAGCCGCTGGGCCGCGTGGTGCTGGAGGTGAGACCGCTGGACCCGACCGCGCTGGACTGGGCGTGGGGGACGGTCCTGGCCCGGCGCTGTGCCTGTCTCGCTAGGTGACCTTGGGCCTCCCACGAGCAGGTTCTGGGCCTCAGTTTCCCCATCTCTGAGAAGGGCATCAGATTGGTCTCTTCCGCTCTCTCCTCGGAACTTTGGAGTAGTGGAGGCGGGCGGGAGGGCACGTGTGGAGGAGAACGCTCAAGGTCAGGTCGTAGACGGTGAGGGCCCGCCCCCGGGGTGGGGGAGGGTTCCGAGACCCCTCCGGGGCGGAGGCTAGAGCTCCGAGGTGGGTGTCCGGGGCCCCGGGGTGCGGACGGCGGGCCGGCGGGGCGCTCACGCGGCGGCCCTTGCGTAACGCGGAGCCCGGGCCCCGCCCCCGCCGTCGGGCTCGCACGCGGGGCGGCGGGGACGAGCGACGGTGGTGTCGGCCCGCCTCCTCGCGGGCAGTGCGGGCGCCGGGCCGCAGGCTCCAGCCGCCCGACCGAGCCGGGGCAATGTGCCCGGAGTCCTTCACCCCGGCGCCAACCCCAGCCACCCTCCCGGGGGCGACACTCAGCTCCTGCCCCTGACACTGGGCCTTTTTAAAAATCAAAGCAAGAAACAAATAGGAAGGGAAGCTCTGGTGTAGCCTGCAAGCCCCGCCCCATTTTGAACAAAGGGGCCTCAATTAAGCCTCAGTTTCCTCTTCTGGAAAATGGAGAGCACCACCCTCCCTGCTCCCACTTATTTTAATGGTTTGGTGCCAGGGTGGCTTTTGAAGCTGGGAGGCAAGAGGCCATCTTGGATGGGGTTCCAACCTCCCTTCAGCCCCCACCCCTCCTGCCTTTCTCCGAGCCTCAGTTTCCCATCTGCACATTGAGAAGCTTGGACTGGTTCCTCCCCAGGGCCCTCTCTCCAGGTCCCGAGTCTCTGATGCTTTGGGCCCAGCTGTAGTAGCTCTGCCAGTTCTGCCCCTGGAAGTAGGCCAGGATGGCATTGTCATCTCATCTGACGGGTCAGGAAACCGAGGCTGCCTCCTCCCAGCCTTGGGTTCAGGAAGCAGCTGGCAAAAATGATAGCTGCTTAGGCTGCCTCCTGCAGAGGGCTGGGAGTAACAGGAATGGACTGGCACTGCTTTCTGTTTCCTTGGCCACTGTGGGGGCCGGCTGATGAGGAGGTTCCTTCCTTCGCCTGCCTCTGGACTGACCATCTTCTCTTGTCCCTCTTCTTGCCCTACAGCTGAAGGCAGATGTCGTCCCAAAGACAGCAGGTAAGACGGCCTGGGGCCTTCTGAGTCTGCTCTAGATGGAAGAGAGGGGGGCAAGGTGAGGGCATGGAGACCTGTGACCAGATGGGATCCACACGGGGCTCAGCCACTCAGTGCCCTGGGGCAGCCTTCTGTCCCTCTCTGAGCCTCAGTGCTCAGTGTTGGCCCTGCCCACGTATCCCGCGGTAGCCTCAGAATCAGTAGAAGGCACATGTAAATTTCCCCTGGGACAACTTCCTCCTGATGCCCGATAGGGCAGTGTGGGTGGCTCTGCAGCCTTTGGAGTCCCTACCCCGCTGACCTGGTGCTGGAACAGCCAGGAGTGTATGCTCTTGCCACAGTGCTCAGACGCTGAGGTCAGAGAACGCGATGCCTTGTCCCAGGTCACACAGCCAGAGCAGACCCAGGGGGCCGCCATAGGGTCTTTCCATGGCTGGCTTACCTGGGGAGTTGGAGGGGGTGCTGGCTGGAACGAGTTGTGACCCCTGGAGTGGAGGCCTGGCCCTGTTGACTTGCCTCTTCCTTCCCCTCAGAGAACTTCAGAGCCCTGTGCACTGGGGAGAAGGGCTTCGGCTACAAAGGCTCCACCTTTCACAGAGTGATTCCGGCCTTCATGTGCCAGGTATTGCAGCCCTCTCTGTGCCTCAGGTTCTGCTGTAAGCGGGGGTACTAGCAGGGCCGCCTCATGGGGTTGTCACAAGGGTTAACGTGTGAGCACGTGCCTGGTGCCTGGAAAGTGCTGAACGAGGGGCAGCTATGAGGACTCTGTTGGCTGTCCTCTCACTCCGAGAGGCGAGAGTTCATCTGGGCTGCCAGAGCCCTTCCCTGCCCAGAAGTTAAGCAACAGGGCAGGTGGCAGGACAGCCCTGTCCAGCTGGGTTGGGAAGTGAGCCTGTGGAGGGAGAATTGGCATTGGGGTGTGGATGTGCACAGGGTGGTGGGTGGGGAGAGATCTTAAGACTTTGGAGGACCAGCATATTCAGACAGTCTCTGACCGTGTCCCACTGAGCGCTTGGCATGGGAGATAAGGGGGGAGAAGTGAGGGAGGAGGAGTGGGAAGAGAGAGAGGGCACGGACAAAAACACACAGATCTGGGCTTGGAGCTTTTCTTTCCAGAGAAGAACATCTTTCTCGGTTGAATGAACATATTCTTGCGTCACTTGTGCTGCCTGGTTTTCAGAGGTGTTAGCATTGCTGTGTCAGAGGTTTTGGGGTAGGTGTTGACAGAAAAAAATTCCCTAGGGTTCAGGACCCCAGCTGTGCTGGGGTTGTCCTCTGTTGGGTCAGACCTTGCTAGGTCAGGGGTTAGTGTCCTGAGGCCAGCAGACCTGGAGGCAGGGGCGTGGATGTCATGACCTCTTTGAAGTCCTTTCAGCCTGGAATTCTCTACCCCATTCCCTCCACCCTGACCTGGTGGCTGTCATCATATTGTGGTGAGTGGCAGTGTGTTGGGCCTGGGCCTGCTGATGTGTCAAATGTGGCGACTACAGGGAGGGGCAGGGAGGCTGTGGCTCTGGGACAGGCCTGGCCCAGCCAGTGGCTTTCTGCTGCAGAGGCTACCTGCTCCACCTGAAGCTGGGGATGGGGCAAGAGCTGAGGCGGGTGTCCTGAGCCAGGCTAGGCAAGGGCAGGGACTTCCAAAGCTGGAGGGCTCTCTGAGGCATGAGGTGGCAGCACCGGGAGGCCCAGGCCAGGGTCTTGAATCATCGCTCTCTGGGGACACCTTATTGGCATTTGTGGATGATTCAGCTAGGCTGATCAAGTCACCCCTCTGACCTGAGGATCCCATCTCAGGAAAACAGCAACATGCCCCTGGCGGACTGGGGCTGGAGCTGGCAGCCATTCGGCTCTTCTGGCCACAGCTCCCCATGGAAGCCTCAAGCAAGCTGTGAAGAAGTCCAGCTCCTGAGTGCACTCTGTCCTGGGTCTGCAAAGCATAGGGAAGCCACTGGGCCTGGTGAGGGGGAGATGCTGCGACAGGGAGGGGGACTCAGCATAGGGAACTGGCTCTGCCAGCTGCTGCTGCTCGCCACAGACCAGACTTGGGAACGGGGGCTCCTGGCCACCACCCTGTTTACCCTCTACGAGTTGTGGGTAGAAAATTCTGGGTCACTAAGAATCATCTCCGAATGGCTGTTAGGGCCTTTGAGGATCATTTAAAAACTTGCTCAGGGCCGGCCCTGTGGCTTAGCGGTTAAGTGCGCGCGCTCCGCTGCTGGCGGCCCGGGTTTGGACGCGCCGCTTCTCCGGCCGTGCTGAGGCCGCGTCCCGCATGCAGCAACTAGAAGGATGTGCAGCTATGACATACAACTATCTACTGGGGCTTTAAGGGGAAAAAAATAAATAAAATCTTTAAAAAAAATAATAATAATAACTTGCTCAGACAAAAAGTGAATCATTCGGAAACCAGGGTAGTTATTTTGGTGGAAGATATTTAAGCTTTATTTTATTTTTGTTAATTTTTCTTATTATTTTATTAGTCTTTATATCATTGGATGTTTTTTGACCCCTTTGCTGAGGGGCTTCGGGCTGGGTGGGACTTGGGTGGGTTGGGGGCTGCCGCCCAGCACTGCAGAAGTCCCCCCTGCCAACTCAGGGTGGTGGCCACTTAGAAGGTGCTCTCTGCTCACAGGCGGGCGACTTCACCAATCACAACGGCACAGGGGGGAAGTCCATCTACGGAAGCCGCTTTCCTGACGAGAACTTCACATTGAAGCATGTAGGACCAGGTGAGTGGGGTCGCCATTCCCTAGTCTGAGTGCCCCGAGCGTGGACTCAGCCTCTGCCACGCGCACTGGGAGGCCTGGGAGGCTGCAGTCTGATCATCGATTGCTCAGTGTCCAATGATGTACTTCCTTCCTTCAGCGCTCTGGGTTGGCTTGTCAGATTTTCCTAGAGCTGTTTCATTCTGAGCATTCCATTTAAAAAACAAACTTTCCTTTGAGAACCTGGGGGAGAGAGCCTTTAAGCACCCCCCCCCCCCAGCGTTGTGTCACCTTTAAGACCTAAGGTGCAATGTGGAAAAGTCTAGAGGGAGGCTGGGGGTTCTGCTCCGGCTCCACACTGAGAGCTTCCACAAGGCCCTTCCTCCTTGTGGTCTTCCCTTCTGAGCTCCAGGATCTTCAGACTCAAACGTCCTTGTGTGGTTTGAGCCATCTGCTCTTTAGAATGACTTGCCAGATGAGACGCCTCTTGGGGCAGCGTGGCTCACTCCTGCTTCTTTCTGCAGGCGTCCTGTCCATGGCAAATGCAGGCCCCAACACCAATGGCTCCCAGTTCTTCATTTGCACCATCAAGACAGACTGGTGAGTTCCTTGCTCCTGGCTCCAGGCCCTCTGGGAATGAGGGGAGGCCTCACAGCTGGAGGAGGGTTCGTGTGCTTGTAGGGGAAGGTAGTTTGAGGCTGGACTGTCTGCTCTGTGACGGTAGCCCTCACCCAGGCTGTGTCTTATGAGAGAAGGAGAAAGTTCATGGAAGGACTGAGGGAGAATTTGGGTTGTTCTTACAGCTCTTGCTTTATTAGGCCTCTCCTGGTTGCTGTCAGCTAGAATTTTCTCAGTGCATTCTGCACACACGCACAGAAGGATTCTTTTACCAAATACGTTTGGGAAATGCTGCAGAACGTATTAGGTCTCAAGATGGCTTGTAGTAGAGGCCTGTTTGCTCGGTTTAACCTGTCCTTTCCCTGACTTACCTCGACCTTGGAATGCACCTTGGAAAATGCTCGGTAGACATTTGCATATCACAGCAGGTTTTTCCTCAGGCATTAGCACAAGCCTGCAGATAGCTACTAGCCCCTTAGAGCCTTCTTTCCCACATGCCCATGGGTTTTAGGGATGTCTTTCCTGGTAAATTTTCCCCTACCTAATAATTTTCTCTGCCTAGAGTCCTCTGTGTCCTAGCCTGAGGCATCTGGGGTCGAGGGGACAAAAGCTGGCTGGGAGCTAAGACTTAATAAAGCCCAGTTCTGAGGACTTGAGGGAGACCTGAGTGGTGGGTGGATACAAGCCATCTCTAGCCTCCAAGCCAGAAGGGACACTGATGTCGGGGCTGGGCAGGTCGTTGCTGGCTCTGCCTGCTCTTTGCTCCTTCCATGGAACCCCTAATGGACCCTGCAGTTCTGCCCTTGGCCGTAACCCATATTGGCCTTGCTGGCACTGGACTAAGCTGCCTTTTAGATTCTTGGAACTGTCTCAACTTGAGAGCTCCTCAGAACCTACTTAGTTTTACCACACTTGCTATTTTAGCTCTCACCTCATAATTTATAACTGCTAAGATAGTTCCATTTACACAGACCTCTTATTTCTTCAGAGTAGTTCAGTTTTCTGTTAATCTCTTTGTGCAGAACAGGAATAATTCACTTTTCATAAATGAAGTTACTAGCATTCAGATTAAGTGGCCTGGGGCAAGGTCCCACAGCATGTGAGGCAAAGCATGCCCTGGAAGGCAGGCATCCTCCAGTGTGTTTTGGGGAGCTCAGCAAGGCTTGAGGCTGGAGCTTTGAGGGGTGGCTCCAGCTTTTCAGTGGGAGTTCCTTTCAGAATTGCTGTTTTCGGTAAATAGTTCATGACCAAGTGACCATGACGTTGGGTGACATTGCGCTACTCTAGTTTTTGCTTACCTGGCTCACCTTGCCTCACAGGTTGGATGGCAAACATGTTGTGTTTGGCCACGTCAAAGAGGGCATGGATGTCGTGAAGAAAATAGAATCATTTGGCTCCAAGAGTGGGAAGACATCCAAGAAGATTGTCATCACAGACTGCGGCCAGTTGAGCTAACCCGCCAGGGCCAGGGCACTTGGCCGGTGGCAGCTGCACGTTTGTCGACTCACCCAGGTGGCCACCTTGGGCTCCCAGTGAAGGTGCCCATAGAGTTGGCCGTGCTCGCTCTGCCATCACTGTGTGCTCGAGGAAGCCTTCTCAGGGATATGGGAGCTCCACAGGACCCACTAGACAGTCTCCCCAGTGCCCACCCTTCCTCGCGACCCCGTTTCTGGACATTCGTCATGGACATCTTGTCGCCACTCCTCACCAGGCATCGCCTGTGATGGCCCAGCCCAAGTTCATCTGTGCCTTGCAAATTGAGGTGGTGATGAGTTAGCTTCCAGTGCAGTTTCTGCCTTTTCCTTGACCACCGAGGAAAGCCAGTCGCTGCAAGAGGGCTGGTGTCTCTGTTTAATGTCGTCTTCCTAATTGGGGTAATCTATTGAACAAGATTGCCTGGAGATGAAGCTGTGACACTAACTACTCCATGCTGTGGTGTGACCTGAGTTGGTAGCCCAAGTCACAGAACCCCAGAGTTTGGCCTCTGGACCACAATCAGGGCTTTTGTGAAGAGTCCCACGGCTGAGTCCTTTTACCCAGTCACTGTGAATCCCATGGTTTGCTGCTGCGTTTTTGAGGCGAGTTCGCTGGGGTGGAAGCTGATGAACCTGGGAACAAACCCACTGCGAGCGAGCTGTGCCTAGCCAATGTGAATCCCTGGGTGGGAAACGGAAATGCCTGTAAGTGCCGTGTGCTCTGCAAGAAAGTAAACGTGTATTTTCTGGTAAGCTTAGATTTTTCTGTGTTTAATAAATTAAATCTGCTAATTATGTATATAATACACTTCTGGAACATTTATTTGTGTTCACCTTAAATGTGAAAATAAATCCTATTTTCTGTAAAAGACTGTCTCGTATCTGGCGGTTTTAGGAAGCAGTGTCTGTAGCTCAAGTATTTGGAGCCAACCCTTACTGAGTTACCGCGTGTCCGGTGCTATGCTGGAGGGCTTTTATATGGACTGTCTCATTTAATCACCCCAGGAACCCATGAGGGTATCTATTGTCATCTTGTGTAGGATGAGGAAACAGCTTCAGACAAACTATCTTTGCATCCACAGCCTATCTATGAGCACTGCCTCCGCCCTGGATCCCAGCTCTGCCTCTTAGTGACCCTGAGTCTCAGTTTTCCTCAGCTGCATAATGGGGTAACAAGAATGCTTACCTCACAGCATGCTTAGGGGTGGATGTGTGGTGCCTGGCACATCGTCTTAATAAGCACTCTGAAGTGAGAAGGATGATGACATTTTCCTGTTTGTCCGGGTCTTAGAGGAGAAGAATCTGGTCATCTAAGGTTAGGTGTGGACTCAGTATCCTAGATGTGCCATTTAAATTAGGAATTAACTTCTTAGATGTTTCTGAATTCACAAAGAAGGCAAATTCAGGGGTGGGAGGAGGATTAAGATCTTCCTTAAAAAGCTACAGATGACACAGTGAATAGTAGAATAATCGCATTCTGTTCACAATGTGAATAGAATTATTTCACATTGGGGTTCCCTGAGTCAGACTATGTGTGGTCACAGGTCACTGTAGTCATTCTGAGGTCACAGTGGCTGGAGTTGGTTCATTTGGAGTATGGAGTTCCCTGAGTCAGCTATGTGAGGTCACAGGTTGATGCAGTCAGTGAAGTCGTGGCTGGAGTTGGGTCATTGGAGTTGCGAAGAGTTTCCATGAAGAGTTCAGCTGCCTGGATTGGGAGCTCAGCCAACCTAGCAGTTTTTAAACAATTCTCAAGAGCCTTAGGGGTCCTCAGAGTAGAAAAAAGGGGAGACAAGGGGTATGGGCCCCTGAACCCCATTTTCAATCATAGATACCCTCTGTTTTTTCTTATTGGGGGTCTGCAAGGGATTTCATTTGAAGAGTGGGATCTTGAGCCAAAAAATAGTAATTGGTAATTGCTCAACCGATCCAACATTTTATGGACAGATAAACTGAGGCCCCAAGAGGGGTCATAATTGCCCAAGGTGACCCTCTGAGTCAACTGGCCGAGCAGGGGCTGGAACCTCGGATTTGCCGATCCAGAGGGGTTTCTGCTGGAGGGTCTTCAGGAGGCACAGGCCCTTTTTGTCCTCAGATCACACGTTCAGAGTTCCTCTGATTTCTGAGGTCAAAGCTGCAACTTCACTCCCTCTGTTTTCTCCTGACCTCTGGAGACTGTAGGGAGGCAGTGGTGCTGTTGACAAGTTTGAGGGACTCCTTGAAGTGTCACCTGCTGGCCCCGTGGTGATTTCTGAGGGGTGTCAGGGTCACAGAGCCCATGGGGCTTGTGTTTAGTTCACAGAGCGTTTCCTTTTCGATGAAGAGGGAGCCTGTGTGTGTGTGTCCCTCCATCCTGAGGTGTCTGGTGTGGGGTCTGGGGATGGAGCCAGTATGCAGGAATTTCCTAAAAACTGAGTTTCCTGAAGATGGGGCCATTCACTGCATTTCTCTCCCCAGCCCTCTGTACAAGAGCCTGCGTCTGATCTTATTTCTTATATAAAGCGGGAGGCTGAGTAATATACAATAAGATATTGCCTTGTTGCCGGCATGTGGTACCTAATGCATGAATAAAGCAGTGAGTCATACACATGCTCTCAAAGATGTAATCATATGTGATGCAATGTCAACATGATGTGTTTAAATATCTGAAATATTTTTCTCAGACAATGCATGATAGCTTTTCAAAATGACTTCATTGAGCTATAATCTACATACAATAAAATTCACACATTTTAAGTGTACAAGTCGATGACTTTTGACAAATTCATACACTTGAGTAACCACCACCAACTTAAGTTATAGAATGTTCCAGTCTCTCCAGAAAGTTGCCTCCATGCTCCTTCCCAGGCAGCCACTGAATTCTATCACTATAGATTAATGTTGCCTGTTCTAGGACTTTATATAAATGGAATCATAAGAGATTTACTTTTTGTGTCTGACATCTTTAGTGTAGCGTGTGTGAGAACATGGGAGAATTTAACACCCTTCTGGGTTCTCTGGAATTTTGCTCCACGACAAGGAATGTCTGTAAACGGTTCCCGGGTCTGGTGAGGCCCAAAGCAATGCTTCTCCTAGGAATCCTGGGGTGCTGGTGAAGCATGCAGATTCCTGGGCCACACCCGAGACCTACTGAACACAGATCTCTGAGGGTGGGATGTAGGAATCTGAATTTTAAAATAATAATTCCACTAAAGTTTGAGAATTTGAGTGTAGACCAGAGTGGGCAAGATTGAAAAGGGAGGGCATGGCCCGCCACTAGAATCGTTGTTTACAGCTAGAAACATCTTTTGCTGGGCACTCTGGGAATCTGGAATAAGACCCTCCACTTATAAAAGATGCTGCACTGGAGGAATCTGACTGATAACTCTCGGATGGTGGGTGTGGGCAGCTGGTTTGGCCCAAGCTTTGTGGGGGCTGCTGGGCAGCTGCATTCTGCTGGTAAAGGCAGCTTCCCACTGCCTCAGCCTGTGGAGGTGCCTTCGAGGGGAGGAGCTCCCATGGTGGTGGCCTCAGCCCTTCCTTCATCGTCCAGGAGGAGGGTCTGGCTTGGGTGGCCCATGCTGGAGAGCATTTTTCAGTGGGTGGCTTCTGGGGGTCAAAAGTCAGATCTGTGTTCAAGGTTCACTGGAACAGGGTAGGTAGAGAAAGTCTGGTTCCACTCTGCCTTCCAGATCAGTCTCAGCCTTGAAAGGCTGTCCAGAATTATGATGGTATTTTTTTTATTATTATTTGATACTGTAGTGGTTAATTTTATGTGTCAACTTGACTGGGCCATGGGGTGTCCAGACATTTAGTCAAACATTATTCTGGTTGTGTCTATGGAGTCTTTCTGGAGGAAATGAACATTCGAATCAGTAGACTGAGTAAAGCAGATTGCCCTCCCTAATTCGGGTGGGCCTCATCCAATCAATTGAAGAGCTGAAGAGGACAAAAAGGCTGAGTAAGAGGGCACCCCTCCTGCCTGACTGTTTGAGTTGGGACATCGGCCTTTTCCCACCTCTGGACTCGAACTGAAACATCAGCTCTTCTTGGGTCTCGAGCCTGCTGGCTTCGGGCTGGAACTTACACCATTGACTCTCCTGGTTCTCTGGCCTTCAGACTGGAACTAGAAATACACCATGGGCTCTCCTAGGTCTCCAGCTTGCCAACTGCAGCTCTTGGAACTTCTCAGCCCCCATAATTGTGTGAGCCAATCCCTTATAAAAAATCTTTCTGTGTTTATATATATACACACACATCCCGTTGGTTCTGTTTCTCTGAAGAACCCTGGCTAATCTTTTTTTTTTCCCTACTTATGAAACCAAAATGCACTTGTAGCTACAAAAAACATCATTCCTTCCCCAACGATAATAAAAAGCTGAATAAACTATAAAATCATAACTTTTCTTGAGCTCATCAGAAAGGCAACCAGGTAACCTGAGGTCCAAAGAGGGACAAAGCCCTGCAAGGAAAGATAGGACACTCGAACCATCTCGCCTGTGGCTGCAGGAAGAGATGGCCACGAACTGAACCAAGTGGGTAAAATGAAATCACGTGACATTTTAATGAATTGTTAAATGCAAAGGGGGGCTAATGCGTTTGGAATAGCTGGGGGCCCCCTTGCACAAAGCCAGTTGACACTCACTTGCAAGGTCTCTCCCCCAGGACTCCACTGGGTGCTCGGGAGAAAGACTGGGGCCAGGCAGAGAACCCAAGAGAGACTGCCTTGGTGGTGCAGGCCTGCGGTGGTCTTCAGCTCCTGGAGAAAGCCAAGAAGTCTTGCTCACTTCCTCAGTCATCTCTCCTATGAAGCAATATTCTTAATCTACTAGGGGAGGGGCAATATACCCTTCACCTCCAGGAAAAAGTAAAAGCTCACTATGGCTAGGGGGAAGGTAGAAGAGAAAATCCTATAACCCTCAGGAGGAGCAAGAAACCATCGGGGGCCCAATATCCTGTACTGATACCAACTGGAAATCAGCTACCACCGGGGGAGGGGCAAACGCATACCCAAGACATGCCTAAGACTGAGGCCTGACCAGGACAACAGAGAACCCTTCTGCTCCCACTCCAAGCCTAATCTACTGCTGGAGGAGAAGGAAAGGCATGGAGAGAGACAGCTTCTGTGTTGCAGAAAGCTGGGAACGCCGTGCAAACACTGAGAAACACACTTCAGCACCTCAGCTCCACACCAAGCACAAGGCAACCGTTGCCCACTGCTACGGGAATTTGCGCCTGTGGGGCTCTGATGATAAGGACAGCGGCAACAGAACCCAGACCCAGCTCAACTCCAGACTAGGTGGACTCAGTGCCCCACCAGACAGACCTGGAACAAGAAGCAGCACACCCATTTCCCAGGGGACATCCCACAACCCTGTCTCTTCTATTGTATAAACCATGCTCAGCATTCAATAAAAAATTAAAAGACACACAAAGGAAAAAGGAAAAAAAACACTGTTATTTTTTTTTTTTAAAGATTTTTTATTTATTTATTTTTCCCCCAAAGCCCCAGCAGATAGT